AAAATGGCACTTTTGTTTCATGGTATTATTACTGTATGATTTATAATTCCTTATAGTACCCCTGCTCTGGAGAGACTATTGCTAAATAAAGGCTGTGTACAAATGTACCATGAAAAAGGAGTTACTGTGCATTTTCCACCAGTGCTTGAGTCCAGTTTCTTCCTAGCTTCAGAATAAAAATCAGAGATGCAATTGTCACTGATTCATTTGCTGATTTGGTCATTTAGTTTGATCTTTCCCCATTCTTCAGGCAGGGACACACACTTTCTCTCTGCATGCATCTTATTCACCCTTCTTTCTCAGCATAATTGTAAAAAAATCAGCTAGGCAGAGGATTTATGACATCAGTCTAGAACAATCAGTGCCAAGTAAAGTCGGCTTCTGTAAGATACTCATACAGAACTGGTTTCCACAGAACTTGATGCTGACAAAGTAATGTATATATGAAAAAGTATGTATGTGTTTCCACAATGATATTTCCATTATTCTTTTAGTGGTATGACTCTGAACCCAAGCAGCAGAAGGAGTTTGAAAAAGTACACAAACACACACACATACCATAAAATGAAAGACAATCTAGTTTTAAAGGCCTCTGTACCATAAAATAGTTGATGCATGCCACAGTTTGGCATTCAACCTGAGATTTTGCCAAGGTGGTTCAGGAAATTCACTAAATTCCTTATTCCTTGTATCATAGTATAAGGAGTTAAAAGATGCTTGTTCTTAACAAAATATGTACCTCTGACTTCTTTTTCTTCCGTACAAAGCCATGCAAACAGATTGTCATGGTGAACTGCTGCATCAACACTGCCTAAATGAACATTGTGGCCTTATAATAAAAAGTGTAATTCCAATTCATGTGTTTCACTGTATTAATATGAGTACAAGAAGTTTAGAGTGTTCTAGTGTCCTCGATTCACAATCTTATTCTCAAAGCTCATTGAACGGTAAGTTATTATTCACAATTTATGGCCAAGAAAGGAAGAATGAGAGGTTCTGACTTACATTAGGAATGCACTGTGGTAATGCTGTGATATATAAGCACCTTTCAAACATATTATGCAGCCCAAATTATCAATATGATTTTAGCAACACCACTGCAAAGCATACAGAATATTTTCTAAATGATCATCTAAGCATTCTGCTGCAATTATCTTAAAATACTAAGCCCCTGTAAGGAAAGTGCCTGAACTGAGTCACAGATCTGCAACTGAATGCAACCCAGCATTCCCCAGAAGGGGAGACAGACAGATGCTGAATGCATGGTGGTGGATGCAAAATGCAACCACACTGAAATCCAAGTGAAAATATTTGCAGTTTAGCCTGGCACTGAAGGGGGGAAAAACTTGCCCTCGATTTATAAGGTCAGTAGGCTAGCTCCAGAAAGAAGACAAGTCTATATTCAGGGACTCTGAAACATTATCTCTGCAGCATCAGGGTGAAGCTTACTGTAACATATCCGGAAACATGCTGTACAGTTGGTCAAATAGTTAACAAACCTGGCTTCTTGCCCAGAAAAACTGATGCATCAGCTGTACCGTGTTGGTGCCTGATGCTCCAGCAAGCAGAGGAGATGCTATGCTTAATATCACTACTAGCCTTCGCCAAAAGAAGGCAATTGGAAGACTGTGGCACTTTCCCTTAGATACACTATTGGCTAAATCCTAGGCATCAAAAGGAAATATTGATCCCTACAGGATCATTAATGCGTGTATTCTTAGCAAAGTGAACTTGGGAGAATGACCTTGATGTGAGGAGCTATTCTTTTACTGATAGGACTAAGATACACAGATAGCATCCAGCAAAACCCAATCAGCAAAATTATGACTGGGTTTTGTTGTCAGCATATTAGTCTCTACAGAGCGTCCTCCATCATAGGGTTCATAATGGAATGCTTGTTAAGCCTCTTCACATATAATCCTTATGCATGCTTAGAAAATTCTGTATGTTGTTGGCTTTTTGTCAAAAAGGAGCAATCTTGCTCTAACTCTAAAAGGACACTGGTAAAGCGAACGAAGAAGTATATTTTCTTTTCACATACTAAAAAGAAATAGAAAGAGGAAAGAACATTGGATTGATTAAAGTGGACATTTTAAAAGCAGAGCCTTCAGGGTAAACTTAATTTATTATAAATACCTTGGGTTTTAAATTTTATATTAAATTTGGATTCCCCCCACTTACTTTGCTTATCATATTGCACAGTGAACTTGACCAAATTATCGTTTTTATATATTCCTTTTCATACAAATTCATATAGGAAAAAGCTAGATATTATTAGAAACTTGGCTGTAACTGAAAATTGCAGCCCCGTGTTAAATTCCACCCCTGCCCTAAAGAAACTCTCACGCTTCAATGAGATTTGCTTCAGCCGACAAATCTCTTCTCCTCCTGTCCTCTAAACCTTTTCTTCTTTCACTTTCGTCTTTGCTCTAGCAATACCTTAGCGCACTATTAATTACAGTGCACAAGGCTAAAAATACTAAGAGAAAGAAGAGCAATACCAACAGCACTATGAGAATCATCCTACAAGAATGCAGTAAAATTCATACAACTAGATGCATTTAGGATAATGGAAGCAACAAATTACTATTTATGATAATAAGCTTTTATGTAAAATGTCAAGCTCATACATTGTGCATATAAATATATATAAAATTTTCAAAGTAATGAAATATATTTTTTTCAGCATTGTGTTTTCCTGTCTAGCTTCTGAAGTGGAAGCATGCCAGATACAAGCAGAAAATGCAATGCTTTGGGTGTATGGGTTTTGTTTTGTTTGACAAACAGCATCAAATCTAGCATTTAATGACTTAGGATAAATAGAACAATAGTAATTGTTTTAACTGCAAGCCATTTAGTATCAGTCTTGCTTAAGTCCTATGTCAAGGGATCTATTCTAACAAAGACTAACATTGGATGTATTTCACAGCATTGATATATTTTGTTTGTTTGCTACATTTCTATTCCTAGCAACAGTTAAAGTTCTCTGGCTAGTAATACCTACTATATATTTATATATAGTTTATGTTTGTATGTATGTTTATATATGTTATGGTTGGATATTCTGAATAAATATTACATTAAATACATTTTTAGAACATGTTTGAAGTTGCTTACCCTAATTATTTTTGTTGCCATGCTTACAGCAGCTAGTTTCTCAGCTTCAGATGGTACCTGATGCTCAGTGGCTTGTATCACTCTCAAGCCACCCAGAGAAACCAAGAAAAGCAACTCCTACCAGATCTGTGCCCACAAGCTGTCCATTCTCATACTTCCTCTGATGCAACTTTCTCATATACTTGTTCACTTAGAAGATACATTTTTATTTCCCTAAAGCTAGCACAATAATAGAATCTTCTTGAGACTACTACAAAGTATGACCTTCCATGCTAAATGCTATGCAACTACATTTCCACTTGAACAATGTGAGTTTCTCTTTTCCTCTGCAGCTCCTCATGCATCTCCCAAATCTGCTCCTGAGGGTGTCCCAATCCTTTGGAGCAGATCTTTGGGGTTCAAGGGAGACAGACAGAGAAGGGACTGTCTTCTCTATCGGCAGCTGGGCTGGTGGAAGGACACCTTGATCTTTAATTCTGTTCCAGTAATAAGAACCATTTTTCCTGGTCAAGAGAAACAGGACTTTGTAAGAAAGAATGGGGTTGATTTCACTGAAGAAGAAGAAGGAAAAAAGGAAGATAGTAACTTCTATCAAATTTGGATTTACTTTTTTATTTGGCTGGAGAAATGGGACTTGGTTTTGATCTAAAGATGTTTTCATGTTTTTATAAATGGATTTTTGTATGATCATAGAATGTTAAAAGATATCTTGTAGGGGATTGACCCAGTAAATCTGATGTGTGCGATGATTGATGTTTGTAGTTTTAGTTTAAAATCTTAATAAAAATTTCAACAACAACAAAAAAAGAACCATTTTTCCTTGGAAGTATTAATTCTTTGACGAACTTCTTTTACTTCCATGAAATATATTTATTTAGATTAATTGACACTGGAGTGACAGGAATTCTGTAATTTCCAAAAATATTCTAAACATTTTAAATCATAGTATATAATAAGTTTTACTTAGGAACAACTTTCCAAATTTTTATTAGAAAAATTAAGGTGTTAGAAAAACTTTGGATCTAAAACCAGATTGGCTCAGTTCAGAAATAACAATCTAGGTTGACCAAACCAGCAGTAGGGAACTGTTTGACTCTGGGACAGCATTCCAATTTGGGAAGATTCTTAGCAGAGGGTAGAGCTAAGGGCACTGTGGCTGGGTTCAAGGACAGAATGAGTGAACACTTGGCCAAGTGGATAAGGCCAGATGCAATTCATACTAGTTTGGATGTTTCACCACTAAGCAAAACTCAATTCTGTGCATGTGTACTCAGGCATAAACCCCAGTGCAAAAGGTTTCAAACATATAATTCCAGCTCAAGTCTAAAACGTAAAGTTATTTAAACTTTAAATGTGCAGCAGCAGGCTAGACCTACCATTAAGCAGAGTGACACAACTACTTCAGGTAGCAGGTGCAGAGGAGAGAAGCATCTGGCCGTTCCCTCAACTGCTTTGTTAATTCTCATATACACAGGGTGGGGATGTGGGGGTGGTATCTTGTCCTTTGCCTTAGTCTGCAAAATGCTTTGCTCTTGTTTGCAAACCATACTTGCAGCAAGAGCTTGAACCAGCTTGAATGTTGCAGAAAACCATGGTTTAGCTAGGCCTGTAAGTATTGCATTAAGGCACACAAGGGAAAGGAAGAGGACATGTGCTTTAATGCAATTGTTTTCAGTCCAGCAACTGATGAGACCAAGAACACTGTGTCCAAATTAGGCTAATTTGTTTCAGTATCTCGGTTTTTCCAGCCATACTTTGATCTTGGGCAATTAATAAATATACATGTTGTGCTCAACAGGCCAAACTTACCATAATGTATCATTAGTTCATTAGCATTAGGATTTTATAAGCATGTAAAAATCTTTATAATTGGAAGGCAGTACCTGGCTAAAGCAAGGGCTCGGTTTACTCTCTCTTCCAGGCCAGTTGTCCCTAGTGCCTTCCATGTCATCCAGAACTTGAAGGCATCCGCTCTTCTGCTGCACTGAATTGATTTGTCCCCAGTGTCATAGCTAACATCGTAGAACTTGTCTTGCTGGAATAAGTATGAGGCATTGGCAGAGTAGCATCTCTTAAGCAAGTCCTGTTTTAGATGCAACATTAAACAAAGCAACATTAGATGGAGCAGCATTAGAAACATTTACATTGAATAGATACAAGGGTGGGATGTAAGAATCCAGTACAGCCAACCATCTGTTACAGGGGCATAACTAAGACTGCTGGGAGCTATACTTCTGAAACAGTTATATGCTTACAAGAGATCCGCTGAACCATGAGCTTTGCAACTCCAGCTTTTTTGGAAGGCAGAGAAGGTTAAAGGAAACATAATTCAAAGTTGGGTTATCCAATACTTTAGTGGCTGGCTTGTCTGTATTTGTATTAGGAACATAACTATCTTCGGCAAAAGGGATATACAGTGCATTAATTTAAATAAAAGGCATGTCCATTCAATTGACTTTTTATGGCAGGTTTTTGGATGGCAAGAGCATTGCAATCTCTCAGCAGATGTGGTCCCTACAAACCATATGCTGGAATGATGCTAAATACTACCTGTTGTAGACAGGAATAATAGCAGAGTCAGCATGTACTCTGCAACACACAAACAGTGAAAGTTCTCCTTATTTCTGATTTGATGCCAAAGAACAAAGACACATTTACATATCCCCACCTCCATGGGTCCATCCTGCATAGAAACTGTGTTTGTTAATATGTACCATATAAGGAAAAAAGTGGAATAGTTTGGTAGGCGGAAAGCGTATGTCAGGTCATTTATCCTGCAACTGTCACTCATGAAAGAGGAGGCACTGCTCTGTGCACCTTTTCAGCAAGACAGAAGGAAAGAAAGCATTGTTGGATTAATACATTGCTGGTTGTATTAGCATGTAACCAGCCACTCCAGAATGGTCTTGCTGCAGACTCATTCCAGAAATTGTCAAATGGAGAGAGCCTTGGGGCTATGGGGTGGTGTGCAAATACAACAAACAGACAAACCAAGTGCTTTGATAACTCTTTCAGTGAAACACAGTTACAGGCCCAAACAGAAGTGTCCAAAGATCTCAGGCTATTTCCATGCTTTAGGTTGCAAATGTATGTCTGCTTACATGGGAATAAGTCTTACTGAACTCAGTGGGGCTTACTTCTGCATAGACATTCACAGGCTTGGGTTGTTAAGTACATTTTAACCAAGGCAGATCTTTGTGTTACATACTTTTTCTTCTAGCATCTACAGTGGTGTTTGGGTTTTGCAGCCAAAGGTACAGTCACTCACATCCACAAAATATTCTACTACTCCAAGCTCCACTTAGCAACAAGGCGTTTCTTACCACCCTATCCAGCTCCAAATGTTCTCATATATATGCTCTTTTCATACCCTGAAAAATGCACACACTCAAGTGCAGGGTCAACTTTGATCTCTTTTCAAAATTCAACAGCACTTTGCACTTAATGCCAGAAAGCAGTGAAACCATTTTATTACACAATAGTTCCAATTTTTAAATGAAATTAGTTCACTCCGTGCTTCATGGATCTTTTACTCTCTAAATTAATTCAACAGAAAATGCCTTTACAAAATATCTGATTGGTGATGAGCACTGAAATAATAAACTACAATGAAAATGGATTTCAAGGAGAGTGAAGCCATCTGAGACAGATCTGTAAAGACAATGCTCAAAGAATGTGAGGCACATAATGACAAGTAAGCAATCAAAACTGAACATAAATGATCTCAACAAACCTGAACAGTATGAAGCCCAGGGGCAGAAAACATCCATTATGCAATTTTGTTCCACTTGGTAGAATTTTAACAATCTAAGGGCCAAAACAGACATTTTTTTTAAAGTCCAGCAGCTTCCACCTTCCCCAGATTTACTCCAGAGTAACAACAGAGGCTCTGATCTGGATCAGGACCCTAACTGGGTGGGTAAGGAGATTTTAAGCTCTGATTTACTCCCTAAACTTACTCTAGAGTAAAACTGAAAAAGAGGTAGCTGCTTTGGCCCCAGTGAGTCTCAGACTTTATTTTTAAACTTTTCTAACCCCCATGATTATAATCTTTGTAAAATGATGCAAGGTTGTGTCCTAGTGACTGGGGAGCCAGCAGCAAACAAAAAGACTCCTTCCCACGCACTCCCATCCCCTATTATTATGTTTTCAAAACCAAGAATACTCCTTGATTTGCTCAACTGGAACCTCAGCATTCTGATCAGCCAGCGGGTTGCTGTGGGCCTGTACAAATCCACATCATGTTCAGTACCAAGCCATCAGCTGAAATCTCAGCTGAGTAATGCCTGCTATTATTTCTGATCTACTGACAGCAAGTGCAAAATGTGCACTGATGAAGCACTGCAACATGTTCACCAACCTGGTGTCCTCCAAGTTACTAATGATGACAACCATAATATTTATACAGAATGTTTTCAGTATCAAAACATTTTCACATGCCTTCTTTCTAGTCCGTATAAAACAAATCCATAAGCTAGGACAGTATTATTTTTTCTCTATTACAGGATTATCATCTCTTACACAGCTCCAATTCTTATGGCTTCCTGAGACTGCCGAGGAACTCACAGCAGATACAAGTTCATAATTTGGTTCATCTGCTTGGAGTGACCACTTCTATAGCCACTTTTTCCACTGGACTCTGTGGTGTTCTTTCACTGTGAACTGAAGGTAGGTCAGGATGTCATTTAAGTAACATGGTGATGTATCATGACTCAGGCTAGACCGCATGGTGATCCCACAATGATAAAAAACCATGATTGCTTGTTATGATGTGCAAACCCAATTCATGTCTTGGAATGGCTTTGTCTGAACAAAGTGCCGCATTGGGAGAAATCCTGCACTGCACTTAGTTCTTATTCACAAAATGGGACACAGGAGAGAATGAGAGTCTATGTATCAGTGCTTGAAATGGGAGAAGCAATGGACTCTGTATCCACAGGTCTACATTTTGTGCCAAGGAAGGACAACTAGGAAAATCCGCACATGTTTGCTTGGAACAAATTCTGGAGATCTCAAGCTTTAAAGATTTTAAGTTTCTCAGGAGTGAGAAAATGCCTTTCATGTACCGGCACTACAAACTAAGAATAGAGGATGGTGGAAGAAAGCTAAAGTAATGGTAACTAGTAAGCAGTGCTCAGAAACTGAAAGAGGCACTTGAAACATGTAATGCAGAAAACAAAAGCAGGAAAGCTGAAGGGGTGTGGGGAGAGAGAATTGAAGCCAGTGATGGGGAGAGGACAATTCAGATTTGGTTCCATCGAATAAGTCAGCCTCAGAAATATAATTGGCTGGCAAGTCAGTGTTCAAATTAAAGGTATCCTGTACAATTTCTTAGCAGAGCTTGAAGGTTATAGCAATTCCAAAGATCGTCAAATATCATCCTCACAAGGAGCATGGAATCCATTTTAAATTGAATGTAGAAGATGCCAGTTTGAGTTGACAGAAAATAAGTTTAGTATTGCCTGTCACTTCTGTGTCTCTTGCCTGTCTGATGGCCAGATGTAAGTAGTACAAGAAGCCTGACAACGCTCTCAATGAAAGGGTCTGTATTTCCATAACTAACTGTACAGGTTTTAATCTGCATAACAGTAGGACTTAGATAATCCTGTCAAAATGATAATAAAAAGAGGGAAAATATATCAAGGCATACCCTAAAATAAATGTGAACCTGACATGAGCTATCTGGTCTCATTAATAGGTTTAAGTACTATACTGAAAAGGAACCAAGTTTACAATCTCATATTGGTGCTGAGAGGCTGGGACAGCAAATTTCTTTTTGTATACTTACAATTTTGAATAAACACACACACTCACTCATATATACACACATATATAAACATTAAATTCATAATTATACTCTCACAGTAACACCATAAAGCAGTAATTACACCAGAAACAATAAAACACCTGTCAAAACAGACAAACACAACAGACATAAAAATGACTTAGCCAACAGTGTCTAACAATTAGGACCTGTTGGGCAAGATAGTAGTCATTTGTGCCCCTAAAATGGAAGACTGCATTATCCTATACAAGGCCGATAGAGAGAAAACTGAATACAAATCAACCTTTGTTTAAAATGTGCTACTGTTGGGGGCGCATGCTAAAAGACAAGCAGTAGTGGTAGATACTTTTATATATTACTTGAGCAGTAATGAACATGGAACGGTATGGAAGAGTACAAAGCCATCCTATGGGAAACTTCCGGATTCTCATAGGCGTGGGTTTTTCAGACATTCACAAGACCAGCTTACCAGAACAGTTCTAGTGTTTCGAACTAGGCCTGTTGCTTGATCAAAGAAGTCTCAGCTGATTGGTCAGTTGACAAAAACTTGTAAAACAGATCTGCACACATTTGAATATATATATTTTTAAAGTACATAGTGTGTCACAGAGAACAACATCTTAGAAGTACTTCCTCCTTCTGGGAATGAAGACCTCTTCTAAGACACTACCTCTTCTCTACGGCTGCATAAAGTACCTGTATTACAAATAATTCAAAATATTTAAAGACCTGCTGCCCATTTAAATAGGGACATCTTTTTAGTTTTGCTATCAATGAAAAACAGCAACTTTCCACAGTGGCTCCCTGCCAAAAAAAAAAAGAGACTTGTGCATGAAAATGAAGAATATTATTACTTGAATAATCTACTCTTTGGAAAAGAGTCTTTAGCATATTGGCTTCCTATCTATAGAATTCCGCATTTGCTGTCAGAAGACACCAGTATTTGTTTTCAGTGGCTGCGGAAGGTATTTTTGTCTAAATAAGATTTCCCTAAATAACCATTCACGGTTTATTGGCACAATCTAATTTTAAAGGCTTTCATCTTGCATTATCATTATTATTAACCATTCTTGTTCACCACTTGGTAGCTGTTCTATCGGATATAGAACAGTATGTAAACTGTGTAAATAAATGAATATGATTAGCTACTTTCAAAAAGGACCATGCAAAACTGCATTATTAAAAATTCCATTTTAAGCAGCTAGCTGCATGGGGAGTTGTATAATTTAAATCAGACTCAAGACTCATTTAAACTTTCATTGGATTGCATTGATTGTCCCTGATTTAAAATGCTACAT